TTCTAAAGGCATTTTATAGAATTATTTCCTTACACTTATGCATCAGGCATATAAAACAGGTGAAATTTTGACCCCAATTACCTGAAAACCAACCAAGTCAAAACCAAAATGCTCTGAGCTTTAACAATGATAACAAAAACAAGAGTCTTTTCAGGACCACTGAATGTACACTGATTGCTCACACTGTGCTGCTGTAAAAGCTCTTCTGAATCTACCTAATAACTGTTAGAAAGTAGGTCATTTGATCATATTAAACTTTTTTAAGTAGAAAGTAGAATTTTTTAAAAACTTCAAGCACCTTGCTGTTGTGAATGTCTATATACAACTTAGGAAATCATAACTTTTCACTTTCAAAAACATTTGAAATATTAGAAAAATCCTTTCCCCTCTTACCTATAGGGTTGCAGTTTAGTTCCACTGTCTTGAAATTCTAGCGCTTTTTTAATAATGGCTTCGTTTTCTTCTGTGTAAACGGAACATGTGCAGTAAACAACTGCTTGAGCTTTAGTAACTATATGTAAAGAAAATATAATCACTATAATGGCCCATCAACAACCTACATAAATTTGTTTTATTTCCATTATTTGATAATGCCACAAGATTTTGAAAGGAGTTATTTACATACATGCCTGCAAGGTTCCCTTTTAAAAACAAAGGCATAAATGACTGACATAATCTATGGCCAATAAATGAAGTCAATTTAACTAGGTTATATGTGAATTAAAAATTCAGTCAATGTGATTAGAGTAGTTACAAAAGGAATATGAGGAAATACAGCACACTTAATCCTACAATTAAGTAATATTACATTTAAGCAATTTACAGTTATGTCTATTATTTGTTCTTTGGTTAGAACTGATGGTCAACATTACTAAGGATTCTGTATGGTCTGGGATGAACAGTATCTACAGGGGTGGTGGTAGAGGCACCATGAGTTACCACACTGGGTGATATAAACTCTAGTGATGCTACTAAATAAGTATTTTTAAAATCCTGTTACTCAGGCTTGAAAGAAAGATATTTAGACTTTATCTCTAATCCCCCCTCTATTATCTACAGGAATCCCAAAGAAATGAACACTAAAACACGAACGGATTTTTGTACACCTATGTTCATACTAGCATTATACACAAGAGCAAGAAAATAGAAGCAGCATAGATTCTCATGAGTGGTAAGGAATTGCGTTTCCAACTCAAATGCAGTTCAAATTGACAAGCTGCTCCAAGGGAGAAAAATGAGGAATTTCTTCCTGTGTGATTTGGTGCATCTGAAAATCCACTGGAGGGTCAGCTATGAATCAGTTCTGACCAGATGGTATATGTTAACAACAATAACATTCTCTATTTAGCATTAAGGAAAACAAAAGTTTGATTAAAACTTACACAGTAGATGAGTTGTGAGGGTCAAGCACAATGACAACAAGAAAATTATATCAAGTAAAATTCCAAAAAGAAAAGGTGAAACTACACAATAATAGATGTTATTATTAGAATTTACCATTAAGAAATCATTAAGTTATAATTACTAACCCATGTTAAACACTACAGCAAAACATGTGTATATTTTTGGTTTTTTAGAAATTAGACTGAATTAGTAAAAAGAAATCTTGTTCTTTGAAGATGTTACGATTGAGTGTTCTGGAAATTTCATCTCAGGTTCCCATTTCTTTGCCTGATTATAAGAATAAATTATTTTTATAAGCGTTGCAATATATTTTAACAAGACGATATTAATGACAAACTTACATTCCATTGCATGAGTTAGCTGTTTATATTGTTGTTGAGAGAGTACATGAAGTTTTTCATCTGATATTCCTCCTCTGGAGAGATCTTTAAGTAAATCTGTATCTACATTTAAAAAGCAATTCAAACTTGTTAAATAGATCACTATTAGGTCTTTTTCAAATATGTATTGTCAGACTACTTAATTTGCAGTCACTTTGTCTAGTAACGCAAGTTTTTTGTGGAAAATATACATTAAAATTAAATGTGCTATCTGTTGTTGTTTTGTGCCATCAAGTCAGAACCAGCCCACAGCTGACCCTCCAGTGGGTTTTCAGAGGCACTTAGTTATTCACATGAGGGAAGTCTGCACATCTTTCTCCCACAGAGCAAATGGTGGACTTGAACTGAAAACTACATACAGACTATTAGAAAATGCTTAGCGGAGGTGGGAGAGGGAGAAAATTGTGCAACAAAGAAAGAATCTTTATAAAGAGAAAAGCGAACTGGTGTGGGGTTAGGGAGGAAAATGTGCAACAATGAATGAATGGAAATCCACGTTTTCTGTAAACTTGTAAAATAGCAATTTTTTAAAAAGAAAAAATATATACATATAAAATGTTTGCTTAATTTTTTTTCAAAATTATATGGGAAATGCTGATTTCATTCAGTTGAAATACTGAATTCCTTTTTTCTGCATGTTAGCTTAGTGGTAGAAGGAGTTGCATTGCCAATCCAAAGTTGCATGGTTCAAGTTGACCAGCTACAGGAGAAAGATGAGCATCTCCTCCTTATACAAGCTAAGAGTCAGTTCTGATGCCACGGCACGTAACAACAACAGCAGCAGCAGCAATTTATGAGACAGTCATCAAACTCCATCCAGCTAACCAAATAAGTTGCGGAGATACAGGAGAAAGCAGTCTGTAGACTAATACACACACATTATTTTCCCAAGTAGAATAGTCAGATCTAAGTAAAAAGAACACAGAAAGATGTAGTTAAAAACATTTGCTTACCACCGACGGGAGGAAAGGCAATAAATAAGAAAAGTTTATTATTGTTCTTGTTAGGTGCCATCAAGTCTAATACTACCCATAGCAACCCTATGAACAACAGATCGGAACCCTGTCCTATCCTGTGCTATCCTCACAATTTCTGACAGGAGCCCATTCCTGCAGTCTCTGTGTCACTCCACCGGGTTGAGGGTCTTTCTCTCTTTCTCTCTTTTCCTGACCCTTTACCTTTCCAAGCATGATATCTCTCTCCAAGGAATAGCCTCTCCTAGGAACATGCCAAAAGTATGTAACTTACATTATGATGGTGACATTAATCAGCTGTAATTAATGTTATAAAATAAAGTGTATATGCATGATGAAATGAAAATCCAATATGATTTGGAAACCTTCATTCAAATAAAGAAAAATATATAAAAAGATCTCAAAACATTAACTTACTGAAGAAATCTTGGAAGAAGTTGATAAAAGAAAATGCATGGGGGGGAGGGGATGGGTAGGGAGAAAAGTGCAACAATGAATGACTGGAAACCCTAAGTCTCTATAAACTTTCATTACAATTAAATTTAAAAAAGAAAGAAAATGCATGACTTCACAACAGATCAAGAAACATCTCTGACATTTTTTTAAATGTCCAAAAATTTTAACCTATTTCTTGATAATGTTTGTTGATCAAGCTGTATGTAATTCAAGCAAGCAACCTCAATCTCTTCTCCATCTATCATGGTACTGCCAATTGGCCCAGTGGTGAGAATCTCTGTGTTCTTGATATTGAGCTTCAGTCCATATTGAAGATTATAGTCCTTGACCTTCTACAGCAAGTGTACCAGGTCTTTCCCAGTTTCAGCAAGGGAGGTTGTGTCATCTGTATAATGTAGGTTGTTGATGAGTGTTTCTCCAGGCAGCAGAAGTCAGAAAATCAAAAGACGAATTGCACTGGGAAAATCTATTGTCAAGGACCTCTCCAGAGTACTGAGAAGTAACGATGTCATTCTAGAGACTAAATTGCACCTGATCCAGGCCATAGTCTTCACAATTATTTGCTATATATAAGAGAGCTGGACAAAGACTAAGGATGACAGAAGAATTATTGATGCCTTTGAGTTGTAACACTAGAGAAGAGTCTTGAACAAACAACGGATTGCCAAGAAAACCAACAGATCCTAGAGAGGATGAAACCAAGTTTCTCCTTGAAAGCTAGATTCTGAAATTCCACTTCACATACTCTGGGCATGTGGCCAGGAGGGACCAGTCCTTATAAAAGGGCATTATGCTCAGAAGGGTAGAGGGGCAGCACAGGAGAGGAAGACCACAGATGAGATGGATTGATACACTAACTGGGGCAATGGGGGTAGGTGTGCTGAAGTCAGTGCTATTGGCTCAGGACAGGACAGGGTTCAGAGCTGCTGTACATAGGGTCACTATGAGTCACAGGCAATTTGATGGCACATAACAACAACAATTTGATAATATTTAGATTTCTTTGCTTTGAGTCTGACTCCTGGCAACTCTACATCGGGTTTCTCAAATTATAAATCTTTACAGACCACTGCCACTCTTTCTCTCTAAAAGGTTTGAACCTTCAAACCTAACTGGTATCAGCCCAAAATACAAGCACAATACCAGCAGAGTTAGGCCATTATTAATTACTATATTTCTTTATAATTATAGAAAATATGAGTATTACTGATAGTAATACTAATGGCTAAGTAATAAGAAAATATTAATAAGATATATTGGGTGCTTCAGGTCCTCTTCACTTTCAGCAAGCAAGGCTGTGTCAACTGCGTAACGCAGATTGATGTTTCTTCCTCTAATCCTGATGCCACATTTCTCCTCATAGAGCCCAGCCTCCCAGATAACCTGTTCTGCATAAAGACTAAAAAGGTATGGAGACAGGATACAGCCCTGGCGTACACCTTTCCCAATTTTGAACCATGCAGTGTTGCCTTGCTCTGTTCTGACGACTGCCTCCTGGTCCAAGTATAGGTTTTGCATTAGCACAATCAAGTGTTCTGGGATTCCCATTCTTCTCAGAGTTAGCCACAGTTTGTTATGATCCACACAGTCAAATGCCTCTGCATAATCAATAAAGCAAAGATAAGACATTCTTCTGATACTCCTTGCTTTCAGCCAAGATCCATCTAACATTAGCTACAATATCCCTAGTACCATAGCCCCGTCTAAATCCAGCCTGCACTTCTGGTAGTTTTCTGTTGATGTGCTGTTACCATTGTTTTTGGATAATCTTCAGCAAAATGTTGCTTGCATGTGATATTAATGATATTGTTCAATAATTTACACACTCTGTAGGATCACCTTTATTTGGAATGGGAACAAATACAGGTTTCTTCCAGTCAGTGGGCCAAGTGTTTGTTCTCCAGATTTCTTGGCACAACTTGGTGAGCACATCCAGGGCAGCATCTGTTAGTTGAAATATGTCAGTTGGTATACCATCTATTCCTGGGTCCTTATTCTTAGCCAATTCTTTCAAAGCAGCTTGAACTTCTTCTTTCATCACCATAGGCTCTTACTCATACGTTGTTTCATGAAATTCTTCTGTGTCTGCCAATTCTTTTTGGTATAATGGCTCTGTATACTCTTTCCATCTTCTTTTAATACTTGCAGGATCACTCAATATTTTGCCCAAAGCATCCTTAAATATTGCAACTCAAGGCTTGAACTTCCTCTTCAGTTCCTTGAGTTTAAGAAATGCTGAGCGAGTTCAGCCTCTTTCATTTTCTGACTCCAGCTCTTGCACATTTCATTATAATATTTTGTCTTGCGGCACAGCTTTTTGAAATCTCCTGTTCAGCTCCTTAATGTCTTGATTTCTTCCTTCTGCTTTGGCTTCTCGACGCTCCAGTGCAATATTCAGAGTCTCTTCTGACATCCATTTTGGTCTTTTCTTCCTCCTCAGTCTTTGTAATGACCTTTTGCACTCTTCCTGGATGACATTCTTGATATCTTCCCATAACTCATCTGGTCTTCGCTCATTAGGGTCAAGGCCTCAAACCTGTTACTGAGATGGTTCTGAAATTCAGGTGAGATAGACTCAAGGTCATATTTTGGTTCCTGTGCGCTTGATTTCAATTTCCTTAGCTTCAGCTTAAACTTGCATATGAGTAGTTGGTCTTTTCCACAATCAGCTCCTGACCTAGTTTTCACAACTGATATTAAGCTTCTCCAGTGGTTCTTGGCACAGTTATAATCTATCTGATTCCTATTCATACCATCAGGAGAAACTCATGTGTATGGCCTGCTTTTATGTTTCTTGTAAAAAGTATTTACAATGAATAAATTGTTGATTGTGCAAAATTCTATCATCCTATCTCCAGCTTCACTTCTGTCACCAAGTCCATGCTTTACAACTACTAATCCTTCTTCTCTGTTCCCAACTTTTGCATTCCAGTCACCCATCACTATTAATGCATCTTGATTGCATACTCAATCAATCACTGACTGCAAAAGTTGGTAGAAATCACCTATTTCCTCTTCTTTGACTCTGGTTGTTGGTGCATATATTTGAATGATAGTGGTATTCACTGCACTTCCTTGCATACGTACAGATATAATCCTGAAGCACTTGCTGTGGAAGGTCAGGAACTGCAGTCTTCCGTATGGATTGATATATTGAGAGAAAGATCCTCACCACAGGGCTGATTAGCAGCATCATGATGGATGGTGAAGATTGAGATTGTTCACAGTTTTGGTTTGCTTGGATCCAGGCAACACTCTTGGCACCAGTAGCTAGGAAATTAAAAGACATATTGCAATGAGAAGTCTGTGGTTAGAGAACTCTCTGAAGTGCTGAAGTGCAAAGATGTCAGTCTGGAGACTAAGGTGTGCCTGATACATGCCATGGTCTTTGCTATGCATCGGAGAGCTGGACGATGACTAGGGATGATAGAAGGAGAATTGATGCCTTTGAGCTGTGGTGTTGGAGAAGAGTATTGAATATATTATGGGCTGCTAGGGAAACCAACAGGCTAGCCCTGGAGAGGGTGAAGCCAGGCTGCTCTTTGGAGGCAAGGATTCTGAAGCTTTGTTTGACATACTTTGAACATGTTGCAAGGAGGGACCAGTCCTTGGAGAAAGACATCAGGCTTGGGA